AATTTGCATATGCGTCTCTTAGAATATGATGTTCTTGTAAATATTGCAACCAAGCACTGCTTTGCTATCACAGTGTTACACATTTTTATGGCTGTCGTCTTCTTTTATTATTATTTTTTCTTTACAGAAGCCCAGCCCACACCTGAAGTGTACCAAGGGGAAGTTATGGAAATGTTGAAAGAATTCACAAAAAACAAAAACCATGAACAGAGATTGGATGCACCCAGCTTGGAGTACCTGGAAAAAGAAGCCCAGTGAGGTCCTTGAAAGTGCTTATTTAAACAGTTAAACTGAAGAAAAAAAAATAAAAGAAAAACTGAAGTGTAGTGAATGATGCTGGGAATACATGTCACTATCGATTAGTTTTCATCATATAATTTAATATTAAATGGGGTGCTTCACTCTGATCTGCTTTGTAGATGATCGTCACTAGAAGATCAATTCAAGATGAGATGAACATCTGTTAATGAGACTGAGGATTCTCCTCATCAGCAGAATGACATGGATCTGAATATCTGTATTATAAGTATGACTTTTTTTAAGTGTATGTTTAACCTGCTATTTGGATGAGATACCCATTAAAAATATAAAATATACATAATTATGATCTGACTCTGGCAGTTGATGGCATTATGAGGTATTTAATAAACGTTTTTCTGCTCATGTTGTGTGAATCATGATATGCTTCCTTCACTGCATGAGTGGATCACATGACAGGAGGGTGCTTTGATTGACAGAATGCGCACTGGACGCGTTGCATAATGAAGGTTGTACCACCTGCATTGCCATGTTCAGACACCAGATGGCAGCAGATCACCTTTATTTCTTTGTTTTAGGCACCTACTGATCTTGGGTGAGAATGGATCTCCAATATAAATATTTCAGTGCCTTATTTCTTAAAAACATGATGAAAATATTACTGCGTAATAAACATGGGAATTTTACATCTGAATAATCCAAAGAACCTTGTTTTTCCATCTACAAGTACATCCTGTTCCCTTATAGAAATAATAAAATAAAGTCACCCTTTTAAATTCATGGTCTGTTTTGTAAAATGTATAATAGCACCACAAGTTAAGCTAAACCTCTTACTCATTAAAACCTACAACACAGGGCATTATTCTATTACTCTGTTTTTCCTCCTTCACCACAAGATCAGCATGTGGAGTACAGAGAATGTTTCTTGTCCTACTGTGTGTCATGTTGGCTCATTGGAACCATGTACTGATTGCAGAAGGGAGATGCCCTCTGGCCACAAGATGTGCACAGAATTTCAAAACAGATGACAAGCTGGCTTGTGTACCTCCACAGAATTGTAATGTAGCATGATCCTAAGTCAAGGTGTTACAAGCTGGCGTCAATCGTTGGTTCATTCATATTTTATTGCTCAATCTTTCTGCAAAACAACATACAATGAGTAGGACGACCTTCGTTTTTTTTTTTTTCAGGGGTTTTTTCTTTCTCTCAGCCTCTCTTAAAATAGACCTGAGATGATGTCAGAAGGGTTCCCCTCTGTGTTATATTTGCTCTTCAGCCATCTGTCTCTCAGTTAATCTTAGTCAATGTTGGAAATTTACCAGTCGGTTTACCAGAAGTACATCATACTTATGCAAATTGAGCCACTTTAAGGATCTGAAGTGAATGATTTTTCTTGTCCCTCTATGTGTCCTTTTATTCTACATCTGTTGCAAACTCTTTGCTCAGGGGTTGTCTGAAAGAGTGAACACAACTAATGTTATGAGGAGAAAAGTTAGTCAACACTTTCACATTTGATCATTTACATAATTTATTGCATGTTTTTATTTTTACTTCATGCACAACTAACGTCTTAAAATCTCAAAGCAACAATTTGTGCACCAGCAAAAACTGCACAGATTGTGCAAATTGTTTAGTCATTTTGCATACTTATAGAGCATGTTTTGTCACAATTGCGAACCAAAAAACATGAATAATTTAAATAACTAATAAAAATCCAAAACTAAATAAAATTCAGGTTTTCATTCCAGTGCTTTTAAGAGAGAATAGGTCATTTTAAAGTAAACGTTTCTAACAAAGAGGAAAAAAAAAAAATTCGAGTCAACCCCACTAAAACAGAAGCAACTATAAATGGATGATGACGTACATGACTATTTTGAAGCTGATTTTTCTCTATAGCAACACCTGGACAACAAAGACTGTTCTTGATTTTAAAAAGTAGTAGTGATATAAATATGTCAAATGAGTCTTTTGGTGCTCATTGGTTAAAATAGAAGACAGATATAAGCAATATAAGATAAAAAAAGAAACAGAAAGCAAATGTGGGTGAACTCTGGAGATAAAAACAGGTAGGGAGGATGGATTTTCTCTTTCTCATCCAAAATCTTTAACGTGTGTGTAAATGTGTCCTATATTTTATATTTGTCTTATACAAATATAAAATATGTTTAAAAACACCATAAACACATGAGGTTTCTGCTTTGATGCTCACTGATTTTGATACTTTGTTGTAGCACTTTGTGATTCAGTTTCTTACAAATCTCACAAAACCTTAGCTGTGTTATGGTCTGATTAAACCAAATTTGAACGTTCTTAGGTATAATCACAGTATGTTTTATGTTTTGCACATGAACAACCCAATTCTTTATGGAACTAACTCCACACTGAAACAGCGGTGGCAGCATCCCACTCAGGATTTACTTTAAAATTGAGGATTTTGTCCAGGTGGATGAAGTTATGAACTGCCCCAGATAGCAGTCAGCCAAGATCTTCAGGTGTCTGCGAGAAAGCTGAAGATGATTGCAAAATATCTTCTGCTGACTTGCTGAAGACATTTCAGCAAGAAAGCTGAAATGAAGAGAGATTTCAATGTAGTGCATCACTGTGAGTCCAAGGTGCTTTCCCATCAAGAAAACAACTCTATGACAGATAAATGTAGGTTTTGAGTAGTCTATCCAGAGGGCAAATTAAATAGCACTGAACAAATTTTATTGGATTTGGAGAACTTTTGCAAAGTAGATTGGGAAACATTCACGTCAAGAAGTAGAATGCTAAAAAAAGATAAAAAAGGTGCTTCAGGTAAGTGTAAGTTTAAGAGTTTGGACACTTTTGCCACCAAGTTTTGAATGAATTATTATTATTATTTTTTCATTTTATGGAGAAATTCCGCTATATCAATTGCACAGTAACACACAAAGGAAAACACACACAAAGAGAACAATAGCAATGTGAAATTTAACAGTAAGGTCAGACATACAATGTAAGAAAACCAACACAGCTATGGAAAATAGCAGATGCAGATTCTCAGAAGATTAAAAAAACAATGCAAACTACATTATTAGTTTTCAGGGGTTTTTTTAAAACATTTTCCTAGTTACATACATTTTTATAGTTGAGTTTTATTGGAAAGATTTCATTATTTTTGCAAAAACCTTTTGAAATGATTTATTATAGTGTCATTTTGTTTAAAAATGTAATATAAAATATAAATGTCCTTAGAGAAGTCCACTTTGTAAGTGGGCCATGCATATTCCTATTTTTAATAATTAAAGGACAATAGTTGAACATCCTCCACATTGGTTGTAAAAAAAAAAGAAAAAAAAGAGAGACGAGGAAAAGGATTCCACCTTATGAGCCCACATGCAGGGGAGGCACAATTCCTGTCTTTCTTGCTCTGAGGCTTGTTGAGAGTGTTTATTCAAGTTTCCCACGCACACCCACTGTGCCTATCTGTAGCCCAGCGCTCCTGTCATCCTCTGGTGCTGCATCCTGTGTCGTGACAGCTCTCAGTTTTATCCTTGGCGCTGCAGTCACCCTGGAGTTTCAGACTCACGTGCGTTCACCTTTTTTCACCACCAGCAGCATCCATGTCCCTTCATCTTCTTCTCGCAAGCCTGCTGGAGCTTTCTACGCTGACGATCACGTATCAAAATTGCTCTCAATAGCGAGAGGCATCAGACCAGATGAGTTGGTAAATGAAACACTTCCTGGCAGTATACCAAGCACCACTTTCTCCAAGATGATGTCTCACTTTGAAGTTGTATTGAAACTCAAAGTGTAGGCGGTTAGAGAGTGTTGTTTTCCCAATTAGATTTGTGCAACAACTCAAAAAAGAGACAACACATGGCAGCTTTTAAAGGAGAGGAAAATGAAAGCTAAATGTGCTAAAATTTTGAATCTGTGGAAGACATCTTCAGCATGTTGAGTTGAAATTTTTCTTACAGAATAGGACATTGGATGTAGTCAAGAGCGATGCATGGAAACTACGCAGGTATGACTTAATAATATGTTGCATCAGCAAACAAGAAGTAGACTGGATATATGTACAAATCAGCGAATAAGAAACACTCTGGAAAAGCTGGAAGCAAAGGTGTTAAATACGCACAGGCAATCAGGTTGCTTCGACACTGTTTCTGACAGTTCTCACTCCTCCTCTGTTCTACAATGACATTTTTCTTCTCAAGCTAAACTTAGGCGTTAATAAGCTTATAAATCTAAGTTGCATTCTAGCTGTTAATAATAATAATAACAATAATAATAATAGTAATAAACATTTTCAAAACTGTAGCAATTTATTGTAATTTAATACTTTAGGTTACGGGTTGACATTTTGTTTTGATTTAATATATGTGTAATCATATTAAGTAATTTAAGTACTCTGTACAACATTTCTGCACATTTCTCACTGTGTGGGTCGTGTTTTTTGGACGGTGGAAAGAAGCCCGAGAGAGAACCCACTCAAGCACCGGGCGAACATACAAACTTTCTTTAGCAGGTAAACATCAAATAATGTTCTACTTGCAGATGTAAATCATTTCAGAAAACAGTTGTTACCACATTTTACATGCTGTTGCTTGTTTTCTGAGGCTTGATATTCACTTCAGTTTTTCACATAAATTTTACACAACTTACCAACTTTAAAGCTTCATCTGACTTGATAGTAGAACCACTCAAATGAATCTTTATAATAAATGTCTTCTATTAAAAAAAGGCACTTTTAAAAGAAATGTATATCAATACCAGACCAGAAGAATATTTGTTTTATATACACATTTATATTATTATTTACACTGTACAGATTTCAAAAAAATAAATGGCTGATATTTAACATTGTGCACCCCACAGATGAGTAACTACAATGAGAGAGGGAAGTGAAAGAGAGGAGTTAGTGGCAGACAGACATCAACAACCCCAATAAATGTTTTCTTTTTTTTTCTTCTTCTTTTTTACATACAGGACACGTCACAATTATCTGTACATTATGTAAATAAAAATGTTGCTGGTTAACCTCTCTTTGATTCCAGCAGTTCCTAAAGAGAATGCCCTAAAACAGAAACATGAGATTGTCCAGTAAACATTTTGGTGTGATTGACTGACCACGTGGAGAGTGTAGGAAGAAGAATTTCAGCTTGATTTCTAAGAAGAAAATAAAATAAAATAAAAACAATTATTATCATAATGACACCCTGGTTTACTGCTATTGAACCAGATATTTACATAGATGGTATAAAAAGACATAATTATTTATTTTTTCACTGAGAAACATTGACTATTCTATTGTTGTTTTAGATCAGTGGGGATTGCCAAAACTGTGCATCTTTTGTAAATACCAGATTAATGAGCATGATGCGTTTTTGAGAAGCTTTGAAAATTGATTTTAATTTAGAACATTTCATGTTCCAAGACTAGAATGAATTTAAACAATTTGGAAAACTTCAGAATACAATGTTATGGCTAAAGATGGTAAAGAAAATAAAACAAAAAAACTATTTAAAAAAAACCATCCACCATTTTTATATTTGGTAAAAGGAACTTTTTTTGATAATCCTAACTGACCTAAAACACAGTGAGAAGAAAAAGTTGTCCTTTTTGCGCAGTGTATGTCAATATCTGGTTTCCACCACGTCTTCACCCAATATATAAACAGCATTGACTAAACTGACATCCTCATAACCTTTGAATTTGAATGATTTTTTATCAGTATTTAAAGTAATCCCCTTCTCAACACACAAGAGCTTCAAACACAGCTTTTATTGCTGCTTATTTCTTGAGGCTCAACACTGCGATGGCCTGAGACTTAGTTAACATCAATGATGATTCTGATTATCTCCCAACTCACCCCTTTTTAAACCCCCCACCTTCCTGACAAACTGAGTGCGAGCGCATATGGTGAAGAGCAGGGTGTGGCAGAGTTTACAAGGCACACAGAGCACGCTTTGTGCCAGGAAGCATGTGTGCACAATGGGGGCATTTTGGTGGCGCGCCAGCTGAGATGTTAAGGAGACGCCATTTGAGTGAGACAGAATCAGATAGTCAGTGCGCTGGACATTCCAGAATGCCGGAAGCTGCTTTGGTCTAAACAAAAACTCTGGATTATGATAGTCCGGGTAAGGATGTTTAATCTCAAGACTCTTGGCTTCTTTTTAAGAGTTTTAACCCTCAAGCCAAACCAGACACAATGGAATAACCCTGGTGTGAAGAGAGGTTTGCTCCAGCATTGTTGTTAACAAGTGCTGTGATGCTTACAAAAAACCGACAATCTTTAAGAAAACCAAAACAACAACACTTGTCTTTGTACATCTGAATCTATACAGGATTAAAAAACAGTAAACAATGCCGATCAGCATCAAAATGGCAAACTCTAGCTCATTGTAGATGCACATAGAGAGTAAAAAGTCCAAATATCAACACGCGCACAAAGTGCAGACACACATACACACCTCCAGAAGACAAACACAAACTGTGGAATGTAAAAGTACTTCCCTCAGATTTTATTAGTCCTATTTGTTTTCATTCACGTGATCAATACATGTCTAAGTGGGATGTGATGGAGGTCATTCTCAGGCAGTAAAACAAACACTCAGGAAGCTGACCTGTACTTCAATCAGACCCCAGCCCAACATAAAATCAGCTCTAACTAAGTCTAGGCACTGCAGTTCTCAGTGCTTGACAAGCACAGTGTAGGTTTTCATTTACTGGAATGTGTAATTACGTCACAATTTACACTCTGGCCATTTTCTTCTTATTTCTTTTCTTTAAGTTCAGATAAATTTTCAAAACAAGTTAAGTAAAGGGTAAAAGTACAGGCTTATTTTGATTCTTTAGGATAAGGGTTCAGTTCAACATCAGGAGTAAGGAACAAAAAAAAGGACTTTGAGTCAGTTTTCTCTGTCAGGAACACATTTTTATTCCATTGGATGGATTCAATAATCATTTTTTTTATTTTAGCATCAGCTTTCCTGAGATTATGTACTAACTTTCTTGCATGATTACTTTATGACCTGTGTACTTCTTCCTTTCCCATTTCAATTTAGAATATTACATTTTTCATCCCTTTGTGTATTTGTTGCTTTACACTGGCAGTGTTTTTGTATTTAAATGCAATGTACATAAATAACACATTTTATGACACTAAGGTTCTTTTATTTATTTATTCATGTTTTTTTAAATTCAGCCCTTAAAAAAATATCTTGTAAAAAAAAATATTTGATTTCTGCCATCATTTGTTTCAACGTTATACCCAAAGGATCCACTGACAAGCAAACAAAAATTCCCATACGATTTAGGTTTTGCACTCTTTACTAAGACATCTCTTAACATTATTATGATGTGAAACTGAAGTGATTTAGACCATTGCAATAATATTTTTCAACAGATCATATCAGGCACATAGAGCATTTTACCACTAACTGAAACCCCACTAAAGATGTATAAACAGCCTTCAAATAAATTAGTTTTTATTGCAGTGACAGAATTTAATGCATTTTGTGCATTCAGTTGGGGGGGGAAGTAAAATTTTTGAAGAAACATAAAATAAAAAATACACACCGTCGTGACTCTTTCAGTCACTTTCCAACATAGTAAACTGAGGAAAATATGCTATTTAGGTGAGGCTGATTTGTGATTTCTAGTGGACAGAAAATGGTTCCAGGCAAATAGATACCTAAATTTGCTCATACAGTTAAGTAATAGCAATTATTGAAATGTTTGAACCAATTTTCAACCAATTGGAACTGTGACAAACATGGTTGGGCAATGGGCAAAATGTATTCAGTTACCACTCATGGTTTGCAGGATGGTTAAGGGAGATTAAATGAATAAATACATTTAAAAAACATGAGAAAATGTTGGTGCTTCAATAAAACATCACTTTATTTCTGATTTGTGGCACTAGTGGGCTCCGGGATGACATGGTAAGGAAATGAATCCTGGACGGCTAGTGTCCGAATAATGAGCTGAACACTCTACTCCTATACAATGTGCCACTCCAAATATTAATTCACTTTAAGGCTTTTTACACATCTTTATCAGGTTGACGGGTGCTGCAAGTTTGTTTCAAACTACCAGTTTGAAATTACAAATTAACTTGACTTCTGTATTCTGCATTCATAATTTGGGTTTCCTTCCAGAGAAATTAGGTGATCATTTCTACTAATTCTATCTTCAGCATCAGGAATGTTTTGTGTACCTCAATAGTTTAAATTTAGCAGCGCAGGTCTAAAATACCCACTCACACATGCACACATTTATCTACACTACCGCACAGTTGGAAGAGACTTTTTGATTATTTTATGTGTTTGGAAGAACAGTTGTTGAACCTATGCCTCCCAAAAAAGAAAGAAAAATCAGAATAATCACTTTACTCCTAAATTTGGTCCAGAGGGATTTCTTTTCTAAGAGAAAAATATTTTCCACACTCACCTTTTCTAACCAGTGTTAAATGTTCATGTTCATACCCCTTTATTTAATTGAAGGACATTGTTTCAGACAACGGCACGTCACCCACATCACACACAGACGACAAAAGGGTTTCAGCCAGGGGAGAATTATTACAGAGGTGGCAGTGAGGAGGGAAATTGATCAAAGAAAACCTAAACGACAGAGTCCACTTCCAGTCCATTTGAAATTCACTCAGTCACTTCTTCTGTGCCGGATTCCTGATTTTTTTTTTAGGCATTTTGAGAATATGGAGGATCAGAGACGAAAATGGAAGGAGTGAAGACATTTGGTGGTGCACGAATCCCACAGGTCACACCCGTTCAAACACAGTCCCTCTTCCTGCCACAGAGGATGATTTGACTATCAGTTTGATTCATTTTTGGCTGGTAGTTTGCATCCATGGGCAGCAAGAGCCTCTGCTCTGATGGCAGACTCTGGGACAGGCCGATACCGACATGACGGAAGAAAAGATTGAGAGATCTCAGGAAATAAATGGTATAAAAAGAGGGCACAAGGGAGCTAAGACATCAAAGACATTTTTAGGTTCAGACGAACCAATGTGAAGGAGTCAGGTGGCAATCAGAACTCGACAAGAGGGCGCAATTTTCGGGCAGGTTCACAAGGACTGAGGGCGAGGAATATCAAAGAGGCCTGAGAACAAAGAGGTGACACATGGTCCACAGCCCAACACTGCTTTTAGGGGGGAAAGGGATGTGTGCTGAGAGGCTCACGTTGACTTCTCAGAGGAGGAGGTTGGGGAGAGGGATAGGGGTCTTGGTGTTTGACTGGTAACACTTTAGGCTGTTTGGCTGCTGGGCCCCTCAGGCTTTGAGAGAGTGCCACTGGGCCACGGTGTTACGAGGATGACTTATCATGTCTTTCCAGTGTTTTACCTCTGCGGGTCCACTCTTCCATGAAAGATAAATCTGGGAGACAAGAAAATAAATATCTACTTTATTATCACATAAAAACTGGTGTTATTCATAAAGAGCAATCTCAAAACCAGTTGGACATTTGGTTAAGACCGTTTAAAAAAAAACTTCTTAGGGGGAGCCCTTTACTACAACTCCTGCAAATCTAAAAAGCTGATATTATCATGATGAATCTTTGGGTAAGACTTAATGAGAATACATTTTCTCTAAATGTTTTCTCTTGTACTTAAAGCTTATTACTGAGTATGCATATAAGTAGGAAATGTACTGTAATTGCTGGATGTTTGAAGATAATTTATGTTGTTAAGACTAGTTAGGACATATACCACCTGCAGTGACAATGGATATAATTGGTACCACGTATCCAAGCTGTGCAGAAAGAGTTTATTCTGTGTTTGTGTGAGGTAATGCAGCTTTTCTTTGCTGTATTTCTAACATGTTGCATAAATTCCCTTTATTTCAGGTGTCACTTTATTGTTTTTTATTAAAAATAAAGGAATAGCATCAAAATCACTGCACTTTAATGCTTTCCTAAGCACTTCTTTTTTCCATTTCTTCTATTAGCATAGAAATGCCTGAATGTTTATGACAGCAACTGTCCACAGATTTAAATAAAGCATTTGTTTCTAACTTAGAGTTTTCCTCTTGTTTCCACATGACATGAAGGGAAGAAGATGCCCTCGTTCCAGTAGGGGTCAGTAGAGACTGGTTAATTCATCAGATGCTAATGGTCTGTCAGAGTCAGAGAAACACAGAGGAAAAGAAGAAGGGGCAGGAAGAGGCGTGAAAGAGAGAGGAAGGAGATACCTTTCCAATGACATCATTGCGACTGAGTCTGTCCTTGTCCATGACGGTGATAATTATGGTGGTCTCCCTCAACACGTGGGCCGGCACGTCAAAGGGAAAGGACTCGTTAAAAACAGGGTTCAGGCAGCGTTTCATTACCACCGTCTTCTTCTTCTCCACACGTTTGTCTTTGTGCATCAACCACACTTTTACATATGGGTCTAAGAAAGACAAAACATTCCACATTTACAATGGCGGCCCAAGGCTTCTGATGAATCATATTTTGTTTCTTTTTCCAAAGACAACAAAAAAAAAAATGTAATTTCCATTTGGAAACAGTGACTCTGAAGAAGTGCTTACATAAATGAGAATAACAGACAAAGAAGCATTGATACCAGAAGTGCCTCCAATGTCCATGGCTTTGAGGTTGCGTGCTTTGATGATGCTCACAGTGATGGTGTTGGCTGTGGGATTATAGCACAGAGACACTAGGAGATCCCCTCGACTTCCCTGTGAAAAATAGAACATCATACAGAACAACAACAGCATGAAATTGTTTACTTTTTATCCTTCTTTATTTGTTGTTGTTGTTTTTTATTTTTCTCCCCTCTGTTCCTGCTGTGCATTCATGTTCCTGTTTCAGGTTGTCTGTATAGTCTCCGTCTACCTGTCAGCCTCTCCGTATTTTCCTCCCTCCCCTCTCCCGTCGTTATGCTGCCACATCTCCCCTGGGAGCATCACAGCAGCCAGAAATGACATCACACATTCTACCCCATCTTCTTCCTCCGTCCTTTCTTCTTCACCTCCCTCTTTTCTCTTCCTCTCTGAGCTTTGCCCCCCGACTTACACTGCCATCGCTGCACGGTTTCAGCTCCTTCCAGAAAGTCTGCATGTTGGCCAGGTCCAGCTTATTGAGGGGGATGGACACCTCCCCGATGGGGTCGTTCCTGCTGAATCGGTCGTAGTCAAGAACCTGCAGGTAGAGAGTCCTCTGAACCACCTTTTCATAGGGGAAGCCTGAGAAACAGAATGACAAGGAGCAACCATTCACACAATGCAAAGACATGAGCAACATGTGGCGGCTCGGCGACTTACCTTCAAATAAAAATGTTTCATTCCAGTGAGGGTTTAGATTCTTCCTCTTCACTTTAGTCTCCAATTTGTGCTTCTTGTCTGGGAGCAGGTAGATTTTCACAAAAGGATCAGATGTGCCTGAAAAATCCTTAGCAGGCAAATCCTGGCCTTTGAGAATTTTGACAGTGAGCGTCGAGTCCTGAAAGCTATATCCAACACTGAACTGGATGCGACCCAGTTTCTCACACACTGGCCCCTCGTGTTCTTCCTCCTCAGAACCTGGTGAGAGCTGAGACATTGGAAACGCACAGTTAAATCATTAAACTTATTCATGTGGTGGAAGCTAATCTGAAAAAAACAAACAAAAAAAAAAAAAAAACAAAACACACACACACAATCTGTAAAGTATTTAAAAGATGTGAATCTGCCATTTATGACAAAGGTGACCCTGACACACTGTAGTATTCGCAGAAATTATATAAGAGTGCAGATTAACAACTAGTTCAAACTTATTTGTTTTTGGTCTTTATATTTAAATATCACCCAAAGATGTATCTGAACTCTTAAAACTTGTTTCATTTATTCATTCCTTTGAAAGTTATTGTTTCCAATATGTAATAGTGAATGCCTTTAGTTGTCGTTCAAGGAAAACACCAGCACAGTATTTCTGTGGGGTTTCATATATAGTACATACCATGACTTGTAAAAAAAAAAATATATGTATATATATATATATATTATGGACTATGAATACATCAGTTTGATGTAAAAGTGGTGCAGTCAACTTGGAAGAGTAATCTGATTCCAGATCTGCAATTTGCAATGAAGAAAACTGGGGAATTTCAATCCAGCTAAATTGAAAACTTCTATTAAATTCAAGCCATTCAAAAGCATTACAGCAAATAGTTCCTTTTGAGAAATTCAAAAACTGGCCTTCAGTGCTAAATGTCATTCCCCACTTCTTTTATCAAAACCTTATCATTACATTTTTTTTCTAACATTGGGATTACTTTTCTTCATCATTTCTTTTCACCGATAAAACCTCAAGGATAAGTACTAAAAACTAAATATCTTAAATTCACGTTGAAGTCAGAAGACAGCACAAAAAGCAAGAAAATTTGAGTTTGTCCAACTTTGCTGTCAGAATGTTTTGAAGCAATTTGTCTCGAGTCATTCAACAACATACTTATTTTCTTGTTAAATAAGTATGTCACTGAAAAATTTATTTTCAGGTTAGTCAGCAAAATTAAGTTTGTGGGCTGTGCAACCAAAACAAATGTTCTCTGCCGATGTCAAACAGCTGATTGTTCTACTGTATTGGTGTGTTGGGCATTCTGGCATGCACAGTATGCCCGAGCTGATCCCACAAGCTTTCATTCAGGTTGAGCAGATTGCTGCAGGAAGGCTGTTCCATCTTGTCCATTCCCAATATCTGATCAGAAACCATTGCAGACAAACTTAAATTTAAACTACTTTCTTAGCCAAAATACTTCATTTGGAAGTATTGCTGAGAATATAACAGCATAGTTAGACTTCAACAGATTTTATGCAAGGTGCTGACAACAGTACAGCACAACACCTCCTAGCTAACAGCTGTCCTGTTTGCTGCTGTCTCAACTTGTAATCTGTGAACAATAAAAAGGAATCTCATAGGTGGCTCATTTTTTCAGTGAAATATTCAGTGAAAGAGGCTTCTGGTTTGCTTCTGCTTCTGACTATCTTGGTGTTTAAGAAAGGAAATATATGATTGCCACTTGTTGCAAAATTACATCTTTATATCTCTCCATATTAAGAGTACCTTCAGTAATGACAAGCCCTGTTTTGCCAGGGAGAGAGAGGTATGCTGTCCCACAGCCACCAAAAACATTTTGACGTTGGTAGAAAGAACTGAGCCAAGTTTTTCACTGAGACTATCCACACTCAACTCTGCAGCTAAATACACAGATGTGGAACAATTTGAAAACAAAAATGAACAGGCAGTCCACAAACTTCATCATAGACAATTTACTGCCCATTTAGAAACAGGTGGCATGCCAACGTCAGAAAGCTGGTCTTCACAGCACACACATTGTGTTCATTATGATTGAAAAACACACCTTAAAGTCTGAACAACTGTGAGGAAATGAGAGACTAAATAGCTGTTGCTAAATAGACTGAAGAATGGGTGATGCTGTTGGTCAAGGGAAAAGCAAAGAAATTGGGGCTGGAAAGTTTATTGTGGTTGGGAGGAGGGGGGGTTACTCAGGAAGACATTTGAAAACTTTAATATGCAATTGTGAAGTTACTTCTCTCTTTTTTTCATTGTCATGTGGAGATTTATTGTCCATAATCAGTTTGATCACTTTTAATTATGTGGTCCTCCACCCAACAGCTGGCCTAAATTAGGTTTTCTACATTTGAGCACTCTCCAGTCATTCATGTGGCCCTCCCATCTGTTACAGTTTTTCAAAACACTCTCTAGGCAGTAAGCATGGGCTGCTTGCCGACAAAAAGGAATAGGATTGTTTTTGAAAATTTATTGCTTCAAAGTGATTGTAATTTTCTGTCAAATATTTATCTCACACTCAAAATGCTACAAAAATGCTAAAAGATGTCAGAGACAGTGAATAGGATTGACCATTTATTTATTTCATTTTTTTTTTACCTTGTGTCACTGTAAAAAGAGCAACACATCAAAAAGGTAAAATATTTTGTGCACTAAGCATTTGAAGGCTGTTGCTGAGTGAGAGTGTTTATTCTATTCTATATTGTTTCTTAAAATTGTGTACAACAATGAAAATATGATAACAATCATGTTATATCTGCAACAAGATAATAATCTAAAGGCAAATCAATTAAACTGACGAACATTTTTTACATATATAGCGTGAAACCATGCTGTAATTTATGTGAAGTTTATCATGTAGTTAAAACCTCACACCAGTCGATACCACCGTACTCTTATGCCCCAAAATACTATGCCATAAAATCAGAAGCTATTTAATTGTTTAACTCCTATGCACTTCTTTCAAAATCTGGAAAAGGGAAAGTCTGGCGCAGCCCACTGGTGTTTCCATTTGCTTTCTCTGTTTTTCTGTTAAAAACCAACAAAATATAGAGTTTCATTGTAAATACTTTGATAGCTTAATTTCATAGACAATAAGACTGGGAAACCATAAGGAAGAATACATAAAATGTCTTGATTACTGCAGATTTTGTTTTAATCTTCTTTTTGCTCTCACTGACTGGGAGAAAGGCAATTTAGTTGGAACTAAGAACTTAAAATATCTGTCAATAAAGTACTTGCAAATGAAGAATTTGAGATAGTGATTTGGTCTTGAAGATGAACAAAATAATCTGAATCTGTGTTGAGTGTGGTTTGGTAACACACACACAAAGAAATAAAACTTAAAGGACTCCATAAAACCAATCATTGTTATGTTTATGTTATTAATTTTTCCAAAAAAAGTTGAATATTACAAACTTAGGTTTAAAAAGCATATTTAATCCTCTGCAGACGTGCAACTGAAGGACAACATTGCGGAGAAGACACTCCGTACTCGCCATGGCTCTATGAGCATCACACAAAATGAAAGCTTTTGTCAGCCCTCCAGCCATCCTATCCCAACACCTATCACCTGAGACGCTTCAGATGGTTCGACGTATATACAAAGTGACATCCCATGACTTTTCACACTCACTTTTTCTCTGCGGAATAAAACCTGTGTGTATATATAGGCACTTTTTTCTGTTTCCCACAACAGAAAAAAGTCACTCAGAAGGGATCAAAAGTGCAAGAGGAGAATATTTTTAGCTTCAAAGGAGCTTTCCATAGACGCCTTTGGCAAAACTGCCCAACACAAGCATTATCATTAACAGCTGCCAGCGTGAATTTTACAGAATCCCCATGAAACCCCCGTAATTGCAAAGTACTTGCACCCATCTCTGCCATATTCTCACAGCACCCACGTCACCGCATGTTCCTTCACAGCTAATTACGAAGCCTCTCTGAAGAAGGGACATGCCCGCCTCCCCCTCCCTGCTCTTTCTTCAGGAGGATGATTATTGCACATCTGAGTTAACACAGAAAACTCCACGGCAGAAGCAAACTGTAATGCTCCACAGGTGGGAGAGACGAGTGGGTTGAAGACAGTTCCATCTGAGAGAATGGAAGATGAAACACCTTTTGTACAACTTTCCCTCTAAAGCATGGGCCTACATCTCCACAAACAGAATATATTATTCACTAAAACGTATGGCAGCTCTATGTGGCTTTGGTGTAATGCTATTAAATATAAAAGTAAATAAACTTAGTGATCAGCCAACTGATGGCCTTAACATTAAATGTCTATTATACATCCATACATTTATTTGTTTTTAAAGTTTTCAGTGATCAATTTCTTCCTGAGCCAAATCTCCTTGTAATGTTTTAGAGTGTTTTGGATCAATATTTGGTCAGGCTTTCTAAAAGTTCTCAAGATCTTTCTTAAGATTTTACCTGATTTTCATCACCAATGTGTGTCCAGCATCTGCCTGATCTGTTTTTTAAACCACTTATTTCGGATTTACGAATCAATCATACACAATTGCCCTTAAAACAAACAAATAAAAAACATCGTCAAGCTCTCCTTTCGTACTGAAAATAGATGATAAAAAATAGAGTATATAAAATGGAGATTTTAAGATCAGCTGCTTCAAAAATAAACAGGAAACTCTCAATTGTGCACTCCAGCAAAATTTCATGAATAACCTGTTCATTTATATGGAATTATTCAAACATGACTTTATCAGGGGGTACATATGAAAGCATGCTACGCTTTTTAGATTTTATTTGTAATAAAAGATGATTAACTATCAGAATAATTTCCCTTCCACATCATAAATATGCAGTACTTTGTGATGGCATCTCACAAAACATTTCTGAAAAAATACATTGAAGTTTGTGGTTGTAGCATAATAAAGTGAAAAAGGGGTGTGTACACTTTAGCAAGGCAGTTAGGGTTATGCTGACAGTTACCATAAGCACGTCACTGGTGACCGAGTTGGCTAAGTCTGTGACAGAAGAGTTGGCTTCGTGGTTCTGCCCCTGGCGACGTCCTGTTTCATCTGGGGTCTGACCTCTGGGACTGCTGCCTGGTTTGTTTCCTGGAGTTCTGGTAAAGTGCACACAAAATAGACATATCCTTAAAGAGACGCCAATATTGGTCTATTGGCTAGAACCCTTTTGTCACATTCTTCTAAGTTCTTTATGTGTTTTTGTTGATGCACACTTTTAGATGTAAAAGTGAAAACGTAGATTTGACAGCAAAATTGCACAGTTTTACAACTTAATCACTTTTATGTCCAATATTAAATTCAAACACTTTGGTCATAATTATCAAAATGACATTGGTTTATTGTGCAATAGATGGTGTATACCCTGGAGAGGTCATCTTTGAATCACACAAAACAATAAACCATGTCTTTTCACACTCAGTCAATTTAAAGCCATGCATTTATTAATTAAACTTCCATGCATTGACATGAGGCTGTAATGCATCTGATGAAAAAGAAAAACACATACACAAAAAAAGAAAACTGCATAGAAGAGATTCAAACCAAAGACCTATTGGCAATGAAGCAAGAACTAATGCAATGTGAAAGAGAAAAAAATGTGACTTCATTAAATAAAATATTGTAAGTCTTTTCAGTTGAAAGAATGAATCACAGTGTGAAGACTTTAAAAATGTTTGCCTGTGGAAAACAGAAACTCACTTTGTTTTGTCTGCAAACACCAGGACTTTGCAATTAAGAAGAAGAATCAAGGTATACCAGAATACTGAGGAAAAAGTGAAGTAAAAGATCTGCTAAAACTCGAGGGACTAATCAGCACAACAAATTGATGTGAGACCGAGACATCAATGGAAACCCTTAAAAACACACAAAACAGACTAAGAGATAAATTAAGGTAAGAGTAAGACATAGATAGAATCCAACAAGCAGAACCAAATTTAGTTTGATTAAAGAGTCAGATGTTTTAAAGCCAAGAAAAGGAAGAGATCTGATATGTTTCATGGGCACACAGAACAGAGACGATGGAGCGGGAGGGGCAAGAGACAGACAGGGATTTTGTTACAAAGAGACAAGCAGAAGTAGAGCGACACTGAATGAGGAAGAGAAAGGATGCGGCGTGGAAGAGAAAAGAATGGATTCGTCACTCTGCGTAGATTTCCTGTGATCTGCAGGTCAGAGCGCAAACAATGCGGGAATGACTCAATTCGAATCGCAAGCTCTCTGTTTCATGGCACTGTCAAATACAGCTTTCCTCAGCAAGTGTCTATTAATGTAGACATCTGAAACAATGCGGAATCTTTTCTTCAGCAGGTCAGCATGATGCTAATTTTAGTTTCTAATATCAGGCCCTAACACTTCAAGGGACAGCGTGCGTCCCAAAAATAACTACAAACATGCCACTATTTGCCTTTGCCTTAACTTTGTGATAATTTTGGTCATTTCATATTTGACTTTTTCAACCAATTATTAATATGATATGCGATATGACATATGATATGTAATATTATACATAATATTATATACAATACTATATGTTACATTATTATGGAATGCAATACCCAAAAACTTTTCTAAGTCTTTGTGCCAGATGCCCAAACTCCCCTCAGAAAACTAAATAAGAACTCCTTATGACCATTAGTACAGCAAATATTCACAAGGATATTATCTATTGATGGCTTTTATAGCTGATGCTTTGAAGTGAATCAGAAGAGCTGACTCCCATCTCCTGAGAGCTGGCTCCCCACTATTTTTCCTTTAGTTGTTTGTGGCTCATCCCAGCTAATAACATAACTTTGCTTTCATTTGCAGCATGGCTGCCTTGTGGACAATCACATGTGAGGACATGGAATCATATTACTATGTGGAAACAAAGAGGGGGGACAGACAGACAGACAGGTCGTGAAGCTGTCCCTTTCAGCAGTGAACTGGTCATAGTTTGGTGACTGAGTTTGGTTCATTCTCTGTTATGATTCTGTTCATTTGTGCATGTGTTAAACAAAAATGAAATGCTTGATTAAATTATTACATAAAACTAAGAACGATGGCTCTTTAAAAAGAAATACATAAAATTGGGCAAGTACAAGACTTCTCATGAAAACACTTAATACAAGTGGACTTATTAATATGCAAACCATTTATATTTTTCACATTAGGATGAAATATGAGGCAACAGATAAATTAAGAGCCATTTGGGAGCCGTTGCGTGTCTCAAGAGCTAGCCCTCTGAAACCAGTCAAACTTCCCATCACCATTATTGCCTAATTTGTTAACATACAAGCTTAAAATCATCCAATTTCTGTAACTATGCAGTGATATTGTGAGAAAGATGTTAATTTGTTACCTGTGACTCATTTCCAACCTGCTGCTTCAGACACTTCATACACATATTGATTCTCTAATGAGAACAAACCATTTGAAGTTAAGCTTAATGCAGTGATGATGAGTTATATTAGTTTTTTTTTTAAATCATATTACACAATGCTAGTTTTATAATAATTACAGGGCAATTGTTGTGATATATTTAGTGCTTTTTACACCAAACTAATTGTTGCTCAGCTACATGACCGAGGCTCTCTTTACTTTGATTATACAGTAGATAATGCATGCCTGTCAGATGGGTCTCTGCTGCATTCACTGTAAATGCTTTACTGTAGGAGGGTCTGGCTTTGTGAACGCCTTCATAAAGACCCTTTGAATCAAGGATCAACCTTTTAAAATCACAGCTGGGCTCTTTCACTTAGATTTGCTTTGCAGGTCTAGTTTTCATTTCACCGTTAAAATTCAAATCTTTGACTCACATTATCTAGGTCATGCAAAGCCCAGATTGCTGTGCTGCTATCACTGAGAAAAGTCTGTGTTTATCAGGTGTTAAAAAAATATAACATTTGTACCTAGTAAAAATATTCCCCTAATATGCAAAAAAATTTGCACATTGGGGCAAAAAAGTGTGGTCTCAGCATGTCACAGTTTCAACACAGATTAGCATTCGATGATGTTGATTGAAGACAAAGACCTGCCAAAGCAGAACATGTTGACTTTAAACAACATATGTTGACACGCTAAGAACCTCTGGGGAGACTAGGGATGGCAATTGGATAAGTTCCTTCATGTATGCATGCATAGATGTTTAAACATATACTCAGGACCATAATTAACATAGTTTCATACAAGAAAGTGGTGTTGCATTTAAACTAGTTAGTTCTTTGTGTTTATACATTAACACACAATTTAGACATGGAATGCTGTTGTGGAAAAAGAATAAATTTACCTTGAATACTCAAAATGTATTCAGCTAGAATGACTAAAAATAGTTGAATGTACATGTAACTTAATACATGTTTGAAAACAGAGGATAAGTGTCTAAAGCTGTGGGTTGCCCCTTCTTGCCTGCCAGAGACGATTTCATCTAAAGCACAACACCAGTTACATAATTCATCCTTCAGAGGTTGTTGTAGCCATGACTACGAAAGAGTGTGCTTCCTCTTAAGGTTGTACTCCCGACCATCATCAATTTTTCACACGGTTTCAGTAACGATGGAAACAGGAGCCTCCAAAATAGGCCAGCAAAATCCAAGAAAGTTCAATATAGAGGGCAATATATTGAAAATAGCACGCAGCCCTAAAGGCAAAGGGACCAAGCATTCGTAGAGGCTTCTGAAACGCACTCCTTCACTTCCCCATGGCTGCACTCCTCCAACACTGTATGAAAACATCTCTTCATGCACGCCACAGTGTGAGTATGAGCTTATGCTGCAAATGGCTGATTTGTAAATGTCAAAAAGAGAAGTGCAAGATAACCTCCAGTCATGACACTCAACAGGCTAAAACAGGAATGAGCACCCATGGAGCTTCCTTCTCCTGCTAAATCAATCTCGGTAATCTGACTGAAACAAACTTTGCTGTTATTTAACACTTAGCCTTTTTAATGGCAGGGAAATGTAATTAAACTGCCAGCAAGTCTTTAAAACAAAACAAATAGGTGCACCCACACAGAAGCAAGCAATCTCTTGAGGGGTCGATGGGAATGAGCCTGAAGAAACTGGCCCTTCAATCTGACATGAGAGAAGCGCAGAAACCCTGACTTCTAACCTCCTGGCCTCAATTTGAGTTGAAAGCCATCTTCTGTGTAATTGGACAAAGCAGGTCATTACACCCCCAAGGACAATGCAGCCACATCTTATCTTCTCCTATGTTCCATGTCTATTGTCTGCTGGAGAGCCTGCCTGGTGTTGATTAACTGAGACTGAATAAATGAAAGAAACATGCATCATTCATCAAACTGATAGATGTGGATCATAGATGTTATTACTGTACAAAAGTCTGGGATGGGAATTAAGTCTGTTAATAAAGAGTACAATCGCAAGAACAGAGACGGCAAAGCAACATATAAAGTCTGAGAAGTATGTTCATGCATTTTGGCATTTAGTTTATCCCCATTTATGAAGCAATTACAACCAATGAAGGATAGAAAATGACATTGACCAAATAATTCCTGTTTTAGGTCAGCTGGATTACAAAAGTAATTTATATTTGCTAAATGCCAGAATAATTAAACTTGTAGATGACTTTTTTTTTTTATAGTCAGACATTTATGTATACAAAGATAGTTATGCTTCTATCTTTGCAATTTTTTAACATCTAGATAATGAAAAGGTCATAGATCTTCAACCTTCTAAAATGCTAATTTACAACATCTTGTAAATTAGAAGGACACCTTTGGTTGGGTTCACCTCAAACATACTGGTTTCTCCTGTGGAAAAAGAAGTGAGGGAACCTGGTCAAATGGAAAAAAAACACGTTGTTTGATGATGAACTTGCATTTTGGTGCTATCAGGGATCAAAGTGGAATAAAAACAGTCCTATCCTCGGATACTGCATGCTTTGTGGGCTGGTCTGCTTGAACAGTTTGAAGCAGCAATAATGAAGAAACAACATAAAATACATTATAGAAAAGCTTAAATCGATCAGCTTTGGCTAATATATTTGTCCAGAACACAACCTCTTAATGTGAATAGAGTCTCAAAGGACTGGGTGAGTTTAGTTGTTTGGTGCCACCACCTTTCTGCCATCATATCCCTTCTGTTTCTCGATGGTGAATTTA